GTTGGGTACGTAGTGGGGTTTTTCTTAAAAATTTGTAATTAATTAACTAAATAATTTAATGACAACCAATCATAGGCTGTCACGTGGCATAATTAAACTTAATGACTATCGGAGCTAACGACGTTAGTCATTTATGGCATGTGGTGACATTTTCGTGAAACTGATTGTTATATGATGAATTTGAAAAATGTCGGTGGTATTTGGTGAATTAAGTTAAACTCAGGGGTATTTGGTGAAAAACCCGTAATTTAATGTGGTGAGTGAAAAAAAACAGCGGATAAAGGGGAAGATAGAGAGTGTGTGTGAATGAAAAATTGTAATATTATTGTGAGGCATGACAGTAAATAAGGTCTACCCATGGGCACAGGTTAGAAAATCCCTTAATTCTCACTTTCTTATCACATATCTTTTTTCTCTTTTTTTTCACTCACAAACAAATTTTGTAAGAATTTTCAGGTTTTCATATAACCCTCTAAAGTTGCAAATAATACAAAATAAGTGACCTAGATGCTCCTGCTTTTCAAGTGGGGAGTCTAGGCACTGTCAAGGCCAAACTAAGGCCTTGATTGCCTTGTGCAAAATGGGCCTCAACACAGGATCTAAGCTATTCTAAGGACCCCAAATTTGTTAATAGAATTTGTAATATTTATTATTATCTCTGCTAAAGACTTGCCAATAGAATTAGCAAACCTTGATTTTTTTTCGAGTATTCTTATGTATGAATATCCAATATCTTTAATAGAAAACTAAAATTCTTATATGAATTGCAACCCTAAAATCTTAAACTATTAAGTATTTCGCAAATATTTTTTTTTTTATTGGAAACTAAATTAAGCACATACACTTATCAATTATTGATATTGGCACGCCTTCATGCGAGAGGAGCATAGAATAAAAGTTGTCTTGTGAATATATGAGTTGTACAATTAAGAATTAAAATTGGCCTAGTGGTACTGGTTGGAGACCCTCTTTGCACCCATGTGATAAGGGTTCTACTTATATTCGATACTCTAAAGCTTTATTATCGTCGTCTTATTTTGCTATGAAAAACTTATTTAGTTAATCTGAGGAGAAAATTGAGTTAATCAGGGTAAAGGTAGGAGCTGTGACACTTAATTCAATCACTTGTAGTATCTTCCTAAAAATTAAAGTGGGCCACATTTTGATGCTCACCACAAAGCGCAAATCAGCAAATGTTCATGATGGACCAACCAAGAAATATGATATCCTACATAAAAGAGGCTGCCTAAGAGAACTACTTAATTAGTGAGGATGATGATGGCAGCTGCTTTAACAGCCACAGGGAGCACAGCCACTGCGTCGTTGCTCCGGCTGCGCACTCCCTCCCCTTCCTTGCCCATCGCTGCTCGTATTCAAACTTCAGGTCCTAAACATACATACCCTTTTTGTCATTCTATTAATAACACAACCAATTTTGCAATCATAAACAAAGTCAATTTGATTGAAGATTTGGATAGTATTTGACATTAAGATGGCATATTTACAGGCAGGCTAAGCTTTATAACTAGAAAGCAGTCTGTTGTCTTTACTCGACAAACCGCAGTGACAGAACATGAAGCTGACAGTAGCAGCACCAGAAGAAGAGAAGTAATACTTCAGATGGCTTTCTCTGCAATTTTTCAAGTTGCCACTGCTTCTGTTTCTTCACCTGCTATAGCAGTTGATGGTGAGGAGAATAACACAACCCTTTTTTGTCTGATAATATTTCAATAACATTCATGAATCTATATATACTTCTATGTATTTGCCATTGGATGTTATTTCAGATGTTCCTGCAGACTTTCGTATCTACTCTGACGATGTTAACAAGTACAAGATTTCTATCCCTCAAGGTAAATACTGTTATTCAACAGCACAGTTTAAGCGAGTTGAACATCATAAACTTGATCACATATTGAGATAAAATACAGAGTTTTATTGAAAAGTGCTTGATTTCGATTCAGAATGGCAAGTTGGAGCTGGGGAGACAGATGGAATTAAATCCATTACAGCATTTTATCCTGAAGAGGCTTCTACTTCAAATGGTAGCATACTTGCATATCATTCTGCGAAACTATTTCATCAAATAAGAACACGAATGTGAGCATATATCTAATCTCCCTGATGAACTACTTCTGCAGTCAGTGTGGTGATCACTGGAATTGGTCCCGATTTCACAAAATTGGAGTCTTTTGGCAATGTTGATGCTTTTGCAGAAAGTCTGGTAATCACCAACGTACCCCTTGAACATCTTTCATCGTCATTCATACATTGAAATTAATGGTATATCTAAAGTTTCCACAAATTATCAGGTTAATGGATTGGACAGAAGTTGGAAGAGGCCTCCTGGGATCGCAGCAAAACTCATAGATTGTAAAGCTAAACGCGGTAACTAGTTTGTTTTTCTCCCTTATTTTTTGGTGTAAACTAGAATAGGGCTCTGTTACTTTCATCTTGTAATATATGTTCAAGAAAAATCAGTTCAAACAAGGACCAACAAAATATAGATAGGGGCTACATACTCAAGTTTAGTTCACAAATAAACTAAGTAGACATGTATATGCAGTAAAATGTCACATTAAAAAACCTGTTGTCCTTTTGAACCGGCCAGGACTTTACTATATTGAGTACACGCTCCAAAATCCTGGGGAAAGTCGCCGGCATATCTACTCTGCAATTGGGATGGCGAACAATGGCTGGTATAACAGGCTTTACACAGTTACTGGCCAGGTAAACTTTGCTTAGATTTGTTCATCTGAAAAAAATTGCAGGCAACTGATGCTAATTAAATTACTAAGAAGCTAAAGTTATCAGTATATTTTTGCATATATTGCAGTTTCTGGAAGAAGAATCTGATAAATTTGGATCCAAGATTGAAAAGGTATGTCAAATAAAACACTAATGAATCTTATCAACCTTAATTCAGCTATTGCTACTCTGAACAAACCATCTTATTTGCTAAAATTATCGGCTTTTATCTTCTTTGCAGGCTGTTCAATCATTTAGATTAGGCTGATGGAAGAAATTCTTACTAGGCAGTAACTGCTGCTGTCATTAGCCTAGTACAGGAAAAGGTGTTTATGCTCTTTCTTAAATCTTACTGTATATATTCATCAATTTTGAGGTTAAATATAATAATCCAATTGTGAGTATATTATTCAACTGGCTTTGCTGCAATGTTGCCGTTCACACAGGCAAGAACTATCACACTGTTTGTCAGACAACGGATCAGTTTTGCTGAGGGTTCCTTTTTTTTTTTTTTTCTTTATGTATGAAACTAAATCAATTCTTCAGCTGAATCTAATGTAATATAAATAAAATATTTCTATTTAGCATGATCCCTTTGTGTTTAACTATAAATGGCTGTCAAAATCCATTTTGATTCCCAAGCGAAAGGGGCACTATATTATGGGACAGAGGGAGTAATAAAAAAGTATACATGTTGTAATGGGTTCACATTAAGAAGATAGACAATATCTTGTTCTTTCAATGAACAGGCCTGCAGCTGACCACTGCCCCCAGCTTGTTAGATGATCTATGTCATATCGAGTTGCCACTGCTGCTGTAGCATTAGCTTCTGAAACCTCAACACCAGCCAAAGCTGACAAAAATGCAGCCAAAACATGCATAAGAATTCAGAAGTAAAGTTTATCCAATTTAGAAACAAAAACAGTACAGCTAGCTTTGACTAAAAAGATTGTTGGAGATTCACAATTTTCTGTCAAATGCTCAAGGTGCTTAAACTTAACAGACTGATGCTAATTCCATGAATATATAAGATCAGCCACATAACAATCAATACCTGAGCCATTATTGGGTTGCTAGCATCAGCAAGTAGTGTAAGAATACAGTTAATTTGCAACGGTTTCTGTTCCAGACTCAGCATCCACTTTCCTTATACAATTTAGTACCAGATCATGCTGCCCAACAAAGATAAATGTCTCAGCCACTGTGATACTGTTGGATATAAAACTACCAATGTGGGATATTTGTTGCAGTGGTAATTATACAAACTGAATGATATTAGCAGTACGTTATATACAGTCAGGTTTGAGAATTTTGGGCAAGTTTGTACCTGGTGGAGAAGCGCAATGAAACAAACTGCAAAATATGCAGCATCCATAGTTTGAAGGCCCGTGTAGGCCTCTATAACCACTTGGTCATGAACAAGGCCCGCGCTGGCTGCCTCTATAACTGTTTAGTTATGGACGTAGCTGGTGCTTTTGCATTAACCGCTCATTCTTATAAAAGCGAACATCCTTCAAAGTACAGTAGATGATATTTCCTACTTTATTGAAGCATATGATAGCGAGGGGGATGTGGCTGTTTATGACTTAACCTCTGGTCTAGTCAATGGGATGCATTTAAGATAGCAGTAGACAAGGAGGGTGGTTGTTGTTGTGGTGGTGGGATGAGTGGGTTAACTAATTCTATGGCTTCCAAAAAGGCTTAGCTTGTGTGGCATCAGGAATGTGAGTATTGTCATTGCCAAGGACGTACATGATGGATCCAATGGAAGCACAGTTGGAGTCTAATGTGTATGAAGACTTGGTTTGGACAAGGGGATCAAAACCTAAAGGGCCGTTGTTTGGATCAAGCTCACACATAATGCAATCATAGTACCAAGGTCGTGGCTTTACTTTGTTCGGAGAAGATCTCGTCCAAGCTATAAAATATTAAACCGTAGCAACTTATCACTTTCTTCTTATTGGATGTATAATTTTATCAATTAATTTATCCGTTTACCAAGTTTATCTTTCTTAACTTATGTGCGAGAGTGATGTTTTGCAAGTAAATAAAACCGAAAGAAGTATATATTATGTCCAGGGTTTTATGTCTTGGGATTACTACCTAATAGCTTTTTTTTTTTTTTGGCATGAGGTCCATATACTCAAAATACCTTATACAAAGTACTACGTATTTGTTATTTACCTAGCTAACTCGCTATTAAAATACATCAACTTGACAAAAACATTCATAAAAACAAGATAGTCAGGGTCTTAGGAAAAAAAAAATTAAATATATCTTTTTTTGAGTCCATAGTTATTTTATTTTATTGACTGTTAGGTGGCTAACATATTAGCCTAACTACTTCATTTCACATAAGAGGAGGCTCCAAGTGTACAACACTTTACTAATGTTTCTACTTAATATAAGAGCGAAATTCAAATGATTCCTAAATTACATGTAACATATTCATCTACTTTAAACTGCAAGAAACAATTAGCTACCATGGCTTTGACGAATTTTACACGTTGCAACTACACAAAATGACTGAGCTATCTAGATGAAGGCAATTCTGTTCTCACAATCTCTTCTGTAAAATTTTCTGCAGATTTAGAAGCAGCAGCCTTGTTAAATAAAAGAGTGAGCTTATCTATAAAAAGCTGGTGCTTCATTTGCTGTAATTGATGTCGTTCCCTTTCCAATTGCAAATCCTTTTCTTCAAAACGATCTATCTTATCTTGGATCTCTTTCATCTGTAAGGAAATCCAACAACAATAAAGTCATTACATGTAAAATAAAGTTTATAGCGAGTCTATGCCAATCCGAATACCAACCTTATCTTCGATAATGACAGCTATTGACTTTAAAAACTCGTCTTCTTCCTGCTTAAGCAAGGACTCCGCCTCTACACGAGCTTCTTCTGGAGTACAAATTATGCCACCACTGGCTTCTATAGCAGGATCTGGATCACAAACGTGTGTAACACACGTTACAGCTAAGAACACTAGCTCAATGATCACAGCACACAGAAAATGATAGCCAAATCTTACATAGAATATTATGTAAAATGAGCATACAGAATAATAGAATATAGTACACATAACCCTATCAAGCACAATGCGAGTGCCACAGTGTAATCTTCATACTGGTGAGATCAACATGCAACTAAATTGCCAAACTGTTAGCTTCTCTAAGCCAACGTAATTAATGAACAGAGAATTCTTAAACAAACTTGTACTAATGGTCACTCAATCCTCTAGCTGCAATTAATGAACAGAGAATTCTTAAACAAACTAGTACTAAAAGGTCTATATTATAGATTAACTATGACACTCCAAAAAAAATGTAGAGCCATTATCTGGAACAAACAGGCAAAAAAACTAAAATTTGAGATTAATAAACAGAAAAATAAGAAGAAATTAAACCAAGACGGCCCAAGAAACATTAAGAACTACAACTGCATCGTCTATGTAGGACCAAAACAGGTAATCAAGCAGTAACACCAGCTTAGGAATCAAAAGAATGATAAGAAAGCGTACAAGCTGTAATACGTTCTCAGTAAGAAGGCAGACAATACCTTGCACTTTCATCGAATGGACCTGCAATTGACCACTGCCCTTGCTGCTGCTTATTAGACGGTCTGTGTTATATAGAGTTGCCACTGCTGCTGTAGCAGTAGCTTCGGAAACCTCAATACCAGCCAAAGCTGACAAGAATGCAGCCTAAAACAAGAACAGTACAATGACTAGGATCAAAAATATTGTTGGAGGCTCACAATTTTCTGTCAAATCTTCAAGGTGCTTAAACTTAACAGAGCAATGCTAATTCCATGAATACCTAACAAAAAGTTCAGCCACATAGCAATTGTTACCTGAGCCATTATTGGGTTGCTAGCATCAGCAAGTGGTGAAAGATGCAATTTCTTTGCAGGGGGTTCTGTACCAGATTCAGCATCCACTTGGCCCTTACTTGACATGCTTTCTTCCTCACCCATACCTGCAGGCTCTGCAAATTTTTCCCAAAAAGAAAGCTTGATAAAACGAGCAATACATTCTTTCTCAGTTCTACCACCAACATGTTCAGCCACACGCTTCCAGTCATCACGATAATGCATAACGGCTTCCAACAAATGTAAAGTTTCTTTGTCAGTCCAGTCGGTCTTCACTGGTTCACTAATCTCAACCCGTCTAAATTCTGAAGAATTAACACCAACCTGGTAATTGCCACGAACATAGCACCTTGCACAGAGCACCAGGTCATGCTGCCCAACAAAGATAAATATGTCTTAGCTACCGTGAAGTAATTGTAATATTATTGGGTAAAAAACCTACCACTGTAAGAAGCAAACTAAAAAATGAAGGCAAACCCTTTTCTAGAGATGATGATAGACAAAAAGACCCATTGTGGTTGCAAGATATAAGGATACTTTTTACCTTATCTAAGTTAATAGCACAAAGCTCAACTAATAACTACAAGAGCTCCCTTAATTAACTATTTATGGCCAGTTTAGTAAGTGGTAACTAATGGTGGGAATGAGAATGAATTTGTAAGAAAAATCAATGTTCATTCCAAAGGTAATGCTAGTTCACTCCATAGTATTTCATTTTGTTAACAAATTTTCATTACTATCCAAAACTAGTTGGGGGTTATACTGGGTGGTAATGGACACTTACGAAGAAAAACACAAGTTAGAGGATGTGATTGCATTACTTTGGACAATAGGATGTTAATTTGCTGGTCAAATTACACTTCAATTCATTCCCATTACCGCTTTTAGCACTTTATATAACCGGCTACCAAACAAGTCAAATTAGTTAGAAATTTTAAATTATACCACAATCCCCCTAATTTCAAAACTGCTTTCCCCAGCTAATCCAAACTTATTCATCCCCCGACAAATTACCCCCATTCCCCTGGTCCATCAAAATCAACCTATCTCAGCTTCCATATATTTTTCCATTGTCAGTCTCATCTAAAATTTGTGAAACCTCCAATCGTCCATCACCTGCAGACCAAAGCATATCTCCCCCAACCCCCATCCTGGCCCGCATAAGAAAAAACGGAAACTGGATGTAGGGGTGAGTTGTGACGGAGGAGATGATTGGGTGTTGTAGCACTACCATGAAAACTGGCATAAGACGTTTTTTAAAAAATTGTATAGAGTATACGTATACACATAATCATTTCCATCTCTCTATACCATCTACCAAATAGGTTGTACTCGTTAGTGCATTAAAGGAATGGCAATCAGACCAGCATGGAAGTTTTTGAATCAAAGCTTTTAGAAATCCTAGAGGAGAAAGCAAGAAAGGTGCACACACAATTCTGTTTGCATCACTGCCTCACAAGTCACACACTCACACACTCAAAACCATAGGAGATTCTCCTTAATAGACATGAAAGTATCAAGTCACAAATTCCACATACTACAACAACATAAGAGACAAAATTGTAATGAACAAGTCCGTTAAATGAATCAAGATTTAATCTTTGGTAATAGTCAACCATGATCATCAATTCATCACTCTCCCTCCATGCCCTTCTCTGAATTTCTATATGGTGAAACTAAACACGCCCTTAATTATTAAATCGAGTCCAACACCATCATCTCATAAACCCTGATAAAACCCAATGTAACAATTCCTACACTATGTTAATTTAGTGCAAGTAAACAAATAAACATAAAGATGGTAATAGACTAAAAGTATACCTTATCACAAACAAAGCAGGCAATAGTGCAAGCAACTTTACAACCACTGCACATTTTGTTAGATTTCCGAATATTGGAATTCCCAGCAGCAGTAGTAGCAGCCCCAGCAGAAGGTACAGCGGCGGGTTCTCGGTCCTTCTCCTTCTCTTTCTCCTTGTCCTCCCACTTAAAAGGCGGCTTACCGGAGGGCGGGGAGTAATTGATGAGGCCCCACGTGTCAAGAAAATCAAAGACGCGGCGAATGGACCCCACATCTCCGACGAGCCACCTCCTGACCTCAGTGAAAGTGAGCTTCTTAGAAGGGTTAGACCTGAAATTGCTAACAATGGCATTTCTGTAATACTTGTAAACATTAGGGTTCTTTGAAGCTGAATTCCCCTCGAAGAACTCCGGCATATGCCGCACCTCGCAATCGTCAATCTCATTCCATTTGAACCAACCTGTTAATCAATGGGGTTCCTTAATGTATTTTCAAATTTCAATAAAAATAGAAAAATCAGAAAGGAAATTGAAGAAGCAAAAAAGGGTTACGGGAATAGCTGGGGACGGTGACGAAATCCGGTGACTTTTTGGGATCGGACGGCGGAGGAATTGTCTCCAGCGCCGGAAGCGGTGGAGTGGGGTCGGTCTTTGTCGGCGCAGAGGTGGTGATGGCGGCATCAGCGGCGGTGGTGGTAGTGGGTGTTGGGACCTCCATCAAAACAGATGAATCAGTCGTGACTTCTCGGCTTCCTTTTATATTTCAGTTTTTGTTGCCGTAATTTTCACACGCACACATGAACAACATATGAATCCAAATAAACGAAATCCAATCTAATCCAAACTGAATCCAAATAAACGAAATCCAATCCAATCCAAACTGAATCCAAACAACATATAATTCAGTTTTTGTTTAGGAGACATGGATTAGATTTAGGGGGTTTTGATATGAATAGGGGTGCCCACTATTTGGATTATAACCGAAATCCAATCCAATTTAATCCGAATTATTAATTCGGATCGCATCTGATTGAATTCTTATGATAATTCGAATTTTCGAATCGGATCGGATTGACCTTAATTGGATCCAAAAAATTGAAATAACCGAAATATAATACCGTGCTTTTACAAACAAAGATTGTTAATATTAATCATGTTAAACTATGTTTATAATTACACTAATATTAATCATGTAAAACTATGTTTTCTATACTTGTATTAATCATGTCCAACTATGCTTTCAAGAAACGAATTTTTATAATTGTATTTTTATTTTTATAATCGCACTAAGCATAAAAAAATTGCAATGTATTTTAATTCGGATTTTCGGATCGAATCCAAATAACCGAATTTTAATTCGGATTGGATTTGGTGAATAATTCGGATTGGATTGGATTTGAAAATTGAAAACCGAATTTTATTTCGGATCGAATTAGATTTGGCCTAAATCCAAACCGAAAATCGAATGGACACCCCTAGATATGAAGCAGAAGCTTTCCTTCTAATCCTTAAGAAGGATTGTCCATTCAAAGGTTTGTTACAACCAAAGATAATTCAGGAGCGAGGGTACTAGAAAGTCGTTCTTTTGGAGGGATCATTTTAATGTGGCTTCTACTAGCTCTTATTATTCACAATTTCATTATTATGCAATGAGATATTCCTAATTACTCTTACTAAGTTAGTTCATCTAATATACAAACAAGATTTATAAAATGCATTGCAATGAAAGTCATTATTATTTTTTTTTATAATCAAATTCATGAATATAGACACTAAAATCTAACATCATATCATATCATATAATATCATTAATAAATAAAGTCGATCTTGCAGCCAGGCCACGAGAAAGAGACACTTGGCATTCCAGTTATTCGCCAAATGTCACGCCACGTAGGAGATAAATAGGTATTATTGTGATACATATGATGCTAAGTAATCGATTTTTGGATAGATTTTTTAAGATGAAATTGTTGTATAGAGTTTTATTACCGATAGAAGTCTAATGTTTCACATATACAAAATTAATCATAACTTTAAATAAATATCCTATAATAACTCAATTCTATATCCATCATAAAATTCTTCTTAAAAATTTCTTTAAAATAAGATCCATTTATAATATATTTAATCACAAATTTTTTATACGTAGCTGGCCAAACCGTGTCACCAACTATTAAAAAGGTTACTTTGTTAGTGTTATAGGGGTTACTTGGTCAGTGTTATAGTGGTTACTCAATCAATATTATAGATAGGGGTTACTTAGTCAGTTTTAAAGGTTACTTAGTTAGTATTACAGGGGTTACTCCGTCAGTTTTATAGGGGTTATTTTGTCTGGCCAGATGGTGTGGCTAGCCGCATACAAAATGCATTGTTATTTAATTTATTTTAAAAAAAAATATTAAAGAATCAGTAAAAATAAGTTTTAATCAGTAAAAATAATTGTAATTTGGTAAAAATACTTTCACTTCAGTGAAAATAATTTAAGTTCAATAAAAATAATTTCAAGTCAATAATAACATAGATACCTATTTACAAACAAAACTACAAAAAGTACACTATTATATAAATATAAGCCATATGATATAGTATGTCTA